TGAAAACATTAACACGAACACGGCAATATGAGCGCCCTTTAAGGACAATCTATAGTAACCAATCTATAGTTTCAAACCAATTGCCCAAAGCGCATCAGCCCCCTTGCCGGATTTTAGATGATACACAAACTATTAGACTTACAGACAAGCATCTTTAAAGGACACAGAGCATGCTTACAAGTACAATTCTAAATACTCATGAGGATGTGGAACACTTTTCATGTGCACGAAAAATTGCATCATTTAGATAAAGACTAGGTTTTTTTAGACAACCATGCATGTGTAATATCCACATCCTATAGATAGAGCACTTTGGTTGCATGTTATGAACAATACTTTACGTACATTCCCTCCCCCTTTTTGGTTTGTTTTTTGCTTGGTTCCAATTCAATCATTTCAGTAAGGAAAATTTGTAACATCATTCACGTCTAAAGTGCTTCTCATCTCACACTCTTTCAAAGCTTCATCAAAAGGGCTTTGATTACTTTCACTTTTAACACAACACCTATTTATTGGAGATGACAAAAGCCAAAAGGGTTTTTTGTAACTTTTGTTGTTGGGACCGTGGAGAGAGTGTTACGTGAACAGAAACCATTTTTTCTTCTTTTTTGACTGGTGAACTTTTCCGAGCCCGACAAGACATTATCTTTTGGCTTAGAACTCTTTTAACATGCTAAAATTTTTGTGCTTCATTTCTTTTAAGTGCATTAATTTAAAGAGCTTCAAATTTTTGGTAGCTGTTAAACGCCACCAAGATGAAATGGTAGCTGAAAAAATTAATTACAAGTAATGAATTAATCAAACTATCAAAGCATGTTTTTAAAAGACATCAAAACAAATATTAATACACATTCTTATGAATGTTTTGGAGGAGAAAAAAAAATCAGCATAACAAAACACATTTCAAGTTACTTTTCAATAAAATAGGCCTATCTATCTGGCTTTGAATAGGGTTTAAGATTGGGCTGGGCCAAAATGTCCATGTCCAAAGAAAAGTCAGTGGCAGTGAAGTACTAAAGTTTGAATGGCAGATGAAATAATCATACAGTCATTATGATTTTTCCATAGTCACTCATTCTACTTTGTCAGATGTCTTAATGATTAAAAAAAAAAAGCCTTTCTACAAAGATTTCATGTAGAGAATCTATCTAGCAAAGATGTTAATTTGACTAGATTCGGAACTTCGGGGGTTGGGGCTTTGATAGGATTGTATTGCTAGGAAAATCAACAGAATAATGATGATTTGTGACTAAAGGAGTACATTTGAGATGAATTGATGATAGTTCAGTTCGTCTCAATGTAAGATCATTTCGTGAATCATTGGATCTTTCTTTTTCTTTTAGATTTTTGTGTTTTTAAAATGACACAATGGTTTAATGAATCTAAAATGGGTCCTAAGCTACTTTTGTGAGTTTGTCAGCAAAATCCGGTTTAACTTTCTTCCACGCTTGGTAATGGTTATCCTTATAAAAAGTTGTGAATATCCTGAGAATATCTACTGTATGTAATGGTAAAAGAAAATTCTACTTGTTAAACAAGTGAGCATTAGGTTTACATCTGGGGTAAGTTGATTAGAAAAAAAAAACGTAAAACCCTATATGATTAGTTAGATTTATCAAATTCCATAACTGAAGAGACAATAGTTTACAAGTTTCATTCTATACTATTGTAGATTAGTACTTTTGAAACTTTCAAAACATAATCCATAATATAGTCGATAGTTTTTCTGTATAACTGTTTTACGAATCTAAATGGTGGAACCTTACACATAAAGGCAAAAGTATATTGTTCTAAAATAAATGACAAACATGAAGGAGGGCTCAGAAATACGGTGATTTTGTTTGTTCATTTACTTTCTTCGTATTCGTCAAATCAGACTAATTTTGAAAATTTTAATTTGGACTTATCATATTTATATTATATACAAGGAAAAAATGACAAAGAAAAAAGAGAAGGAATTATGTGTCAAGATCTTAATTATGCCCTAACCTTAAATGTATAAATCTTTTTTGGAAAGTTTTAACAATGGATGGGTAAGATTATTTCCTTGTAATTTTTCTTTATCATTTTTTCCTTTTACCAATCATTATCCTTAAAAATTATTATAAAATTGATAAATTGACATGATATTCTAGTTTTCTTGGAAGGTGGACTGTGGAGTGTATCATTTTGTGTTGCATCGACAAGTTGTAACGTTAGCCCATTTCATTAAACTGATAAGCGAGTCCAGCTCCAAATTTAGGTTGACCCAATACATACCTACATGCATTTGAAACCATAAATTTTAACTCAACCTTCCCATTTCTTATGGGCCTACCACGGTACCACCCATAATGATATAAATGTTTGGGATAATATCAGTTCTTATATACTTTGGCCAGTTATCCCACCCATCGAGTTGTCTACAATTCAGCGAGGGGAATTAGTCATTATTGCCGATGGTGGACACCCTGTAAATATGAAAAAAAAATAAAAAAATCAGTTCTTATTTTTTATATTTTAAAAAAAGTTGATGATTAAGAAAAGCAATATAAAGTCTAAAACAAATTAAATGAAATATACCCTTCCAAGGATCTTGAACTAATTCCTCCCAAAGTCCCAACATGTCCACAGCTATTCCTGAGCTCATGTCATTGATGATATACCTTATGTGGTTTCTACAATGTAAATAAATAATTATTCGGGCTGAAATTTATTAGTTTGTTAGAGAAGAGAATTTTAATCGTATATTAATAAAGTTAACGAAAAAACATGTACGTATATTGAGTAAGCGCGTAACGACCTTTCCGGTTATTTGAAATTTCATAATGTTTCGGGTGTTCTGTTTAGCTATACCTCAAGGGGAGTCTGTGAAATTTAAAGGGCAATAATGTTAAATACTAAAAAGATGAAGGGTTTTTGACAGTTTATAAAACCTCGAGGCTGGGAATTCTCAATGAATGAGAGTAAAAAAAGGTTGACTGAATCTTTCAGCTAGCTGAAGGATCTAATCTATTGCCTTGAGAAGAAAGGTTCCTTTGTTCATCATAATTTTGGCTTTTGCCAAACATACCGCAGGGATGACGTCTGCGTCTTCCCTCATTTAAGATTTTCATGTCCTAGTTAAGTTCATTATCCCTCCAATTAAGGTTATAATTTAGTTGGATCAAAAGGTGATATGATTGATATAAGTAACATGTTGGAATTCCATCAGTGAAATGCAATACACACTCCTTTAGTGTTTGAAAAGTTTGTATAACGTGGTGCTCTAATCACATACTTAAATATAACATAAAATTATATAAAGTCGTTTGAAAAGTACATGCATATTGTTACTGGAGATGGAAAATAAATTACTCCGTATTACGAAATTCTACTTACAATAAAACCGTACTGTTTGTGGTTTGGGTAAAGGGATGATTTAAAAAATATTTAATTAAGAATCTTAATTTTACCAACATATGAGGAGGTGCAATATAATTAGCTGATTTCAGTTCATCCATGATGTTTGAATTTGTATTGAGGCTCATAAATGATGGTTTGAATCAATTCAAACATAATCTTATTCCCTCCATTTTGAAATAGACTATGTCGTTTTAGGATTTGGTAAATTTTTTTAAATGTATGTCGTTTTCACAAATCGAGGTATATTTGACCACTTTTTATCCATATTACCTTTTAATTGAAATAAAACAATATTTATAATAAATTCCTATTGGTTTGTGATTAAATTCTATAGACAATAAATAAGGGTATTAATTAATGTATTCTTGGTTTTGATGATTTTTCTACAAAGACATATAAAAAAATAAAATAAAAATTGAGGGAGTATTAGATAAAAACTAAAGAAAACTTTATTTCGGGTTGAGAGGTAAAAATTATTGGAAGCACCTATATATATTTTTTCCATCTGTTTAAGGGTATTTATCTTGGATAACAGCCATATTAAATTTAATTCTAAATCGATTCAATCGATGTATCTAGTAAGTATTATTGTTGATTGAGGAGTCATTAATATGTCATTTGTCTTAAACAAAAGAAGAAAAGAAAAGCGTTTGATGTCTTTTGAGTATCCAAGTCGGCCAATTGAACACATTGAAAATTCAACATTATTTTGCTCTTGCCTTTATCGTCTGTATTTTTGTGATTTATATATGTGACTAGTTTAATAATAGTACGCATTTGCAGACAAAATAGTGGTTAAAATAAAGAAGGAAAAGTTTGTTTTTTCATTCAACTTTATTGCAGCCACAGCCACCAACTCTGTACATAGCCGGGATTATGGTCTAGGTTCATAATCCTGTTCTGTAATAAGGCTGAAAAGGGCTGTTTGATGCTAATCACTTTTTACAACCAAATAAATTATTGGTTTATTTATTGCATGAAATGAAACACAAGAAGACTCGTGGAAATGGGAAACAGCACTGATCCATCAAATAAAATGCTATCAAATCAATTTAAAATCCATCACTATGTTGCGCACTAGTTTTCAGCCAATTGCCCGTTTCTGAGAAAGACAAAGATTTGACACTTGTTTAATTTTACGTCATGGCTAACCATTATTAATCTCTAGCTTCTTCAGATTAAGCCATTAAGGTTCAAGATTGTTTCAAGATTCATTTTTCTGCCTCCTACCAAAAGAAAAAGGAAGAAGAAAGATTCATGACTATCATCACATTTCAATTTTATTAAATTTTGGTTCTTATCCATTGTCCTCTAAAGTTTAATCCATCATCGCATGGAATATATAGTTTTATCCACCTCAGAATTATTAAATACAAAACCAGTCGTTGTTTATTCACACATTCTTATTCATTGACCATCATCTATTCAGTTATTATAATTTAATATCACGTCATATCATCCTGATTCTTTGACCATTAAGTTTGAAAATAAATCGTCACTTATTCACCATCTGTTGACGTATAATTTACCTTTTGACTGAATACGATTCCGTATCAGGAGCCCTGATAAATCTAGTGGGAATCAAAGTTCACCAAAACCAACACAATTCAAACATGGTTTGCTATGTACTACTAGTTTATGATCCGTTTGTAATACCAAAATAGTGTCCAGGTTCATCCTCCCAAGAATCTTCCTAATTTTGCCCAAATCTCATACCCAAAAGACCTTATAAATCCAACATGAAATCCTCCAAAAAACTTCCAACTCATGATCTCTTCTTTTCCTACACTAAACAAGTCATTTCCCACTAACTAAAGAATAATTAATTAATTAATAGTTAGTCATATGTTTAATATCTTTCTTGTTATATTTCCCAAAATACCCTCCATTCCTTCCCTCTCCCTCCAAATATTATAAAAACTCTCCAAAGGGAAACTTTCTTTTCCCCCTTTCTCCTCTCTCAAATAATAGAGTGGAAACAGAGAGAGCTCCAATGGCGGCGACAATGGCCTCTCTTTTCCTCAAAACTCCGACGCCATATCCATCATTTCCGAAAACCCAGAAATCCCTTTTCACCCCGTCCGTCAATTTTCCGGTTCCGGCCCGGAAATCCTCGAGAACCCGAGCGGGGACCCGGATTTCATGCGGGCTGATTGACCCGGATGGCGGAAAACTAGTGGAGCTCTTCGTTGAAGAGTCTCAGAAAGATTTCAAAAGGGGCCAAGCTTTGTCTTTGCCTTCCATCAGGCTCTCGAAGATTGATCTTCAATGGGTTCATGTGCTCAGCGAAGGCTGGGCTAGTCCGTTGAAGGGCTTCATGAGAGAGTCCGAGTTCCTCCAAACTCTTCATTTTAACTCGCTCCGGCTTGGAGACGGCTCCGTCGTCAACATGTCGGTGCCGATCGTGCTCGCCGTCGACGATTCTCAGAAGCAGAGGATCGGTTCGGCGAGCTCTGTTGCGCTTTTGGATGATCGAAACAATCCAATTGCCATTTTGAAAGAGTAAGTGCAGTTTTTCCTTTTGAATTTTTCTTCCTTTTCTTTGATTTTTTCCCCTAAATACTTTTCAGGTTAGTGTTGATGCCTATTGCTTTAATATTATTGTGCATTTGCTGATTTTTGCTGATTAAGTAATATTTTTATTTGTGTTAAATTGATGAAATCTCTTACTTTTGTTTAGGCATGCAATTCTAGTCAAGTTGAAAATTCTTTCGTGTGGTTAGAGTGTTTACTTTTTGTGGTTTGATTTTGATAACTATGAAGTGATTCATGTGGAAATGGACTTCTTGTTATATTGAAGGAATATTACTGAATGAAGGAGAAATTTTGTTTCTAGCCAGTTATGACTTTTTTTCCCTCTAATTTGTATTATTATTATCCTTTTTATCTGTTTTTGCTTCAGCAAGTTAAGTGGCTATGAAAGCGAAACTGTTATTGACTTAGCAAAAGCTGATATCTAATACAGAGAAGAATTATTATGATTATGACATATTTGCCTGGGGCCTATGGCATTATGGGCAACGTAGGAGTGTTTTGATCTTAAACCTTCCCCTGCATTGTCCAAGCGGATTAGCTGGTGACCTATAGTTCGCTTATGGAACATAGTGCCTTTCTCGGTATATTTATTGGTCAGAGTAGGGGTTTGTTTACTTAGTTCTGTTGAACTGTAGAAACAAAAAATGATATCAGATACTTGTGGCATCTAAAGAGAAGTTATTGAGAATAGTCCATAGGCATTCATTGGGATAAGCTGATAATTAAGGTGAGAATCGTGGGTTTTATGTTTTCTGTCGCATGTAGAAAATGATTCATTAAATTCAGGGGGTTAGGACTAACCCACAAGAATGATGTATAACAGATATCTGAGAAAAACAAAACTCCAGGAAAGAAGTAAGGCAACTATTCCTGTACTATTAGTGCTTGGTAATTCCTTAGATTGTTGTGTGGTGCATTTTGGATTGGGGATTTCCTTTTCTCCTCGTTAGAGTCTTTTACTTATTGCTCGTATCCTGAAAAGACTTATGTGCCAGTGTATGAATTTCAGCATTGAGATATACAAGCACAATAAAGAAGAACGTATAGCAAGGACTTGGGGAACCACTGCCCCTGGCCTACCTTATGTTGAGGAGACCATAAAGAATGCTGGTAACTGGCTGATTGGCGGTGATCTGGAGGTTATTGAACCAGTGAAGTATTATGATGGTCTGGATAGGTTCCGCCTCTCCCCTGCAGAGCTCCGTGAAGAATTCACCAGGAGGAATGCAGATGCTGTGTTTGCTTTTCAACTTAGGAATCCTGTACACAATGGTCATGCTCTACTGATGACTGATACACGCCGGCGGCTCCTTGAGATGGGGTATAAGAATCCTGTTCTGTTACTTCATCCACTTGGTGGTTACACTAAAGCTGATGATGTTCCACTTAGTTGGCGGATGAAACAGCATGAGAAGGTTTGCAACTTAAAACATATTGACTATTTTTTTAGCATACTGTGTCTTTTGATGAAGTTGAATTGTTTCATGCTGCATTTTGTGAACATGGTACTCAGGCGTATCGGTGAATTGCATTTGCACTCAAACCACTGTAATCATATTAGTGAAGCAGAAAAAGAAATGCTCCACAACCAATGTAATTAGACATTGTATCGTTGACTAATTTTGAAGCCTTGTTTGTTTGTTCTTCCTATTCAAATCAACTTTCATTTGTACTATCGGTATCTGAATAATGCTGTTCTTTTAGGTCCTTGAAGATGGTGTTCTGGATCCTGAGACTACTGTTGTGTCTATATTCCCCTCTCCAATGCACTATGCTGGCCCAACTGAGGTCCAGTGGCACGCAAAGGCTCGCATCAATGCAGGTGCCAATTTTTATATTGTGGGTCGTGACCCAGCAGGCATGAGCCATCCACTGGAGAAAAGAGATTTGTACGATGCAGATCATGGAAAAAAGGTGCTAAGCATGGCTCCAGGACTGGAACGGCTCAACATCTTGCCATTCAAGGTATACATTTAATTCCTTCTTGGAACAACTTAAGAAGCCATCTGTCTGTTATGATTGACAGTGTTAAGTTGCTTGCAATCTGTACTAGCAGATAATACTAGTTTCTTGGAATTAACTTGGTAGAGTTATTGCTGCAGGTTGCTGCCTATGACAAAACTCAGAGCAAAATGGCATTCTTTGATCCTTCAAGGGCTCAGGATTTTCTTTTCATATCTGGCACAAAGGTACATTGCTGTGGATGAATTTAGCAACAGAAAAGATGAATAAGTTTGTTTTCGATGTGGCAGCATAAAGAAAAGACACCTGTTCAGTATCCGAATAATAACACATTGAGAATAAATTTGAATACAGCCTAATCAAAACAGCAAATTTGACATTCTGTTTGTGCATCTCGTGTTTTATATCATTTCTAAAAGTTGTTTGTACTTGTCAGATGCGAACCCTTGCGAAGAACAGAGAGAATCCTCCAGACGGATTTATGTGCCCTGGTGGTTGGAAAGTCTTGGTCGAGTATTACGATAGCCTGGCTCCTGCGGAGAATGGCAAAGTACCTGTAGCTGTTCCAGCTTGATAAAAATATTATGGTGTGTGAATATGTATCACTACGTACAATGTTTGGGAGAAACCCTTAAAAATCATTCTCCAGTACTCTGAGTGATTGAAGTTTGGTGACTGATTTTCCTCAAACCATGATAATAAGTATCTGTTGAGGCGTTGTTAGATAGAGTTGCGACTTTGCAACAATAGACCTCAAATCTGTATGGCAACCTGAAGTTGTGCACCTGTAAATATTTGCATCGTGCACCAGTGTGGTGGTTATTAATGAACATTATGGTCTGTTTGCGTTACTTAGGTAATGACTTTAAATCGCAGAGCAACGAATATCCAGATTCCAGAACGTCAGAATAAAATTTTTGTTCCAATTATTAGCAGTGGTTTGGCCTTCTTGGAGTTAACTGTTGAAAAAGTTGAAAGCTTGGAGGGAGAAACAGAATCACAGAGAAAGGGGAATCTTTGGAAGAAATGAGCGGACAGAAAGTGATAGGAAGAGTTGCGAACATAAATCTAGTATTGTTTGATCAATTTAAGGGGCATTCTTTCTTTGTGCGGTACGCTAAAAGGAAACCAATCATTAACATCTTTTGAAACACACAAAAATCCATTAATTTGGGAACGAAGAAGTGTTGCATTAATTCAACGTATTCGTGCATTGGTTTTTTTTTTTTTTTTTTTGAGTCTCATATTCGTACATTGCTAATTTATAACATATTGTAACAAACTCCAATTTCGTCTTACTCAGTGGACTGTCGTTGCAAACTCCAATTATTTTAGTCTTACTAAGGGGACTTACATTACGCCTTTCTCTCAAAGAATGTGTGTGTGTGTGTGTGTGTGTGTGTTGGCGAAAACGAAAAGGGTCGCTCCAATTTGTTGATTCAACAGTTGCAAGGGTTTGCAGATTTGATCTATGAAGACTGGAAAACATATGTATGATAAGGGACAATTTAAAGTTTTTATGTGAATATTGTTTAATTTAGAACAGAAGAGAACAATCTTTTGTCTTCCTTATGAGTTTTGGTTGGCTTTTAATCTTCTAACCATCGTCTTCTTGTTGTTATTGTTGTTTGCAGATCGAAAACGTAAGCATGAATCTGTGCTTTCTTCTTCGAAGTCAACACTGATGGGGAGCTGAAATGACAACGACGTAACAAAGGGCTCTGTCCAAGGTTAGGCTTTTAGGTTTGTTTACACTGATGTGTTTGTTAATTTAATGATAATGTTGACAATTGGGTGAAAAACTGTTTACTTACTCTCCCTTCTTCCCAAAATAGGAGCCCTATTTGTTTAATTTTTGGAAAGGTAGGAGGATGTTTGATGTATATAGACGGTACTTGTTGATCATGCTTGATTGGGGAAAATTTGCATTTAACCGATTTAGAACTATCAAGCTTCCATGGAAATGTGTTACTCCATCTAGTACTAATTATAAGGCACAAATTAACACTAAAGTTGGTTCAAATTTGTGCCATTTATAATTAGGACAGGAGGGAGTATCAGTATCTTTCTGTTTTTTTCAAGTGTTTAATGATCTTTTTTGTAAAAGCAGAATTTCTTCTTAGTAGAATCTACGGGAAAGGGTTCAGAGTCAGACTGATGAAAGTAGACTTGAAAATGGAGGATAATCTGGTTTTTTTAGCTGCTCGGAGCCTTGGAGAAGGCTTCGGCAAAGTGCTTTACATTCTCAATGAGGCACCCAATTGGGCAGGTCAGAAGAGCAAGTGCCACACATATCATCCATAGCTTCCAATTTAGTGGCTTTGTGTTTGCAAATTTGTGTAGAACTTGCACCATAAGTACCTGCACCAATATTATCACTGCAATTATTCCCCCAAGCAATTTCCTCCTGCGCCACTGCCCTTCAGAGAAATTTCTGTGGAATCCTTTGGTATTCAACATCAGGCAAAGCTGCCAGAGCACGAATATGTTGAAGATCATCGTGTCTTTTGTTCCGGAATCTAACCTGAAAGCTTCGGATTTCCCCTTGAACTGTATGGTCAACAGAAGCACTATTGGATAGACAGATTGTGCTGCTATGTTCTCCCACACGGCGTTGGATAGGAGCTGACCGCGTTTAGCTTTTGGCAGGAGCTTGAGTTCTGCATGATCCTCGATTGTTATAGCTATTGCTGCCAACATTCCCACAACCAACTTTGCCCACAGAACCTGAACCGCTGCAAAAGTGACTTTTCCAGAGGAGATGGCAGTGACAATGTTGAAATTTGGAGGTTCTTTGGCTGAAACAGCTGAGATAACATCTGTCACAAGGGAAGAAAAGAAGACTGTTATTTGGAACTGTGCATATAGCTGGGTTTTGTGATTGATAGCCCTGCCCCATGTCACTATTCTGGGTATAGACTCGAAATCGTCGTCTTTGATGACAACATTTGAGCTTGCCATTGCTTGCTGAGTCCCTTGGCTTCCCAGTGAGAATCCTACATCAGCTACTTTTAGAACACTTGCATCGCCTGTCGTACTTCCAGTAACAGCCACCACTTCGCCATTCTCTATCAAGCATTGCACCATACGATGTTTTTCGATTGTTGAGGCTCGCGCCATCACGCGGATTTTCTGACATTTTTCCAGTCTTTCACTGTGTGTATAGCTTCGAAACACAGGGCCCTCCACAACTTCTCCTGAGTTCATGTCTCCAGTGTCCTCCAGAAAACCGCACTCCATGGCTAAGGCTTTTGCAGGGAGAGTGTCATTTCTTGTGATGATTTTGAAGTCCACTTCTGCTCTTTTGAGTTCCTCTAGTGCCATTCTTACTGCAGGTCGGCAGGGGAAGTTCAGGCAAGCAATACCTATGAAAACCAAATCCTTCTTTCCAACCTCAGGGACAGGATTCCCATGTTCATCGTTTGACTCTTCTGTCACACTTTTGTGAGCAAAAGCAATGCACCGGTGAACCTTAGATTTCATCTCTTTGACTTGTGCCAATTTTTCTTCACGAATGCTGCTAACCATTTCTTTCATGTCCCCACTCTCATCGTAGTAATGGGAGCATATCTCCAGGATGTCTTCTGCGTCGCCATTCTGGTGCACATGAAGGCTATCATCACTCTTCTTCTTTATCCAGCTTCCAGAATTTCCTGAATTGCAGATGGAATGAGGGTTCATGGTATAATTTTCACTCACCTCTTCAATTTCCAAACCGAGATCTTCATCACCCCATTTTTGAATTGCATTCCTGATTTCACCATCTGACGAACGACTACTTGATGAAGCCTCTGAATGAGACAAAATAATTGCTTGAGATAGAAGTTGGAGAACATTTTTTGGAATCTCTGATGAAGGAATGTGCTTGGCACAGATATAGAATGAAGTTACTGCCAAATGGTCCAATGTCAGCTTAAGCTTCTCATCCAAGATAATGACGGTAGTGTTACCAATTGCTTCACAGGCAGAAAGCTTCCTGAGTTGTGCATTTTGGTTTATCTTTTTGGCAGAGAAAGAAATGTTTATCAAGACAGCTAGAAGCAAGCCTTCTTGAATTGCTGTGGAGGCAATGGCAACTGGTGTTGCCACAATGCCTATGAGATCACGAAAAACTTCCTTAAAGTTGGTGTTCCCTGCAACAAAATGTGGATTTCCTCCTCCATCATGAAAGTTGCCTGTGAAGTAACGTGCCAGGAGTACTGCCAGGACAATGGAAGCTGCCCCGAAACCTATTGTAGCAAGGAATTTGGACAGCTTATGTAGCCTCATTTGTAAAGGAGTTCTCTGCTCTGAGCTATAGCTTTCCGAAATCAGCAAATTCCCCCATTTTGTTTTTTCGCCAACGGCTGTGACAATCATACGAGCAGAACCATTGATGACTTTAGTCCCAGAGAGCAAGAATGGGTTACCACTGCCATTGATTTCCACTGAATCCATATGAGGTCTCACATTTGACTCGTCTACCAGTAAAGGGCTTTCGCCGATGATCAAGCCATCAGCAGGGATCTGATCACCGGCATTTAACACCACAACATCTCCTACCACGGCTTCAAAGACTGAGATAGCATCCAATATGTTGTTTCTTTGAACATGGATATTGAAATCGTCTCGATCTTTCGATAACTTGAACAGTTCCGTTTTAGGCCAGTGGTTAGCGAAAGCTGTAAGTGTGATAGCAAGTAAGGCAGCCAAACATATGCTTACTCCATCAGAAATTCCTCTTCCCCCATAATGTTTTATTCCAAAACAAAGTGCAATCATCCCCCAGATGGATAGTAGAATCACTCCGGGGTCTTTAACAGTTGCCGCGAGATCATGCAACAGCTTTGGGGATTGCTGATGAACTCTGTTTGAACCGTATTGAACTCGCCTACGAGTAATGACTGATTCGTCTCCCAGGATGCCTTTCTCAATATCAGATTCCAGAATTGAGGCCACCTTCAGGATTCCTCCGAGTCTGTTAAGCTCATCAATATTTCGCTGGCGAACGAGATCGGATATGTAATCAGGTGTAACATTGAGAGCTGTGTATGGTACTATTGGCTGCTGCCAACGCTTGTTGAAGGCTCGTGTGCAATAGATGGCTACAAATGCAGAGCGCCATTTTCTCTTGTATTTGTTGAGATGATCGACGAGATTCATGCACACCAAGTTTATCTCAGGTATTGCAGACATGTTTCTGGAATCTTTTCTTTCAGCTGAACTGAAAAAAAGAACTAAAACATGTAGGAAGATTATAGAATAACTCTGCTCTTGATCATAGAATAACTCTGTTGTTGATAATAGAATAACCAGGACAAAGATTTGAAGGAAATGTAGCTGCAATCTGTAAGATAAGATTGTAAAATTGAAGAAACTATGAACACCATAAAGAAGATCTTGCTTATCAGGTAATTAATTTCAAAGTGTGGAAAGAAAACAGAATTGTAGATTGCTTCTTCTTCTTCTTCTTCAATGAGATTGATTGAGTTTGATTTTCTGCAACTTTATATGATTGGCGTATTGGATTTGAGGATATTTATAAATTCAGCTCTGAAAATATTTTGTGCCTGACATCCTATTCATTTACCAGGTAAAATAACAATAAACGCTTGACCACATCTGTTTTGAAGAAAAATGTTAAATGTCCCAGAAATTCTGTGTATCTTTAATCTAATCAACCTGTAGGGGAAAAGTGCATCATTCGCGTCCCTTTTGATTTGTCGTCATCGATCTAACAACATACTCTTTCCCCCCTTATTACAAGACATTTTAATTTGTTCTAAGTGTTACTTAATATATTTTGTCGATCGAAAAAAAAAATCTTAAAACTACACTTCACATTCATTGAGGTCTCCTAATTATTAGGAAATATTTTTAAAGATTTTTTTCTCAATTAGTGAAACTTAATATAAATCAAAATGTCTTACAATAAGGACCGGAAAGTACTAATAGATAATTTATGATGTTTTGCAATTAAGAAAGTAGTGTTTCGTTTTTGCAATTTTACTCTTCTAACCTGGAGCCGTGTCGATCCATTGCTATGTCACACTGTCTTCTTTTTCAACATGGAATCTATTTTGGGATGTGCTTCCTTCCTAATCCCCCATACTCATGAGTTAAATTTCCTTGGCAATTTACTTTGATGGAAACTCAAGTACGTAGAATTATACTTCATTTTCCACAAAGTAAGCCAGTGAGTCCCACAAGATAAGAAAAGTTGTAAACTGGGTAAATTAAGTGGGGAATTCGACCATTAATCAATCAGTTTAATTTATCTCTGTACTAGTCCCACACCTTTAAAGGAAGCCAACAAGTGGTTACACACTAGTGCTTAATTCCACTTATGCATGTTGTCCCAAATAAATACTGTTCGGTAAAAATTAGTACTTAATTCCAAATACTTAATAGTGATGCTAAATAAATACAGTTTGGTAAAAATTAGTACTTAATTTCAAATACTTAATAGTGATGCTAATTTTGTAACGTGGTCTGAACTATCTCTCTTTTGTCAATTGCTGTTGGGTCATTATCAGCAATCTTAATAAAATTCTCCTGCTTAATTCCACTTATGCATGTTGTCCCAAATAAATACTGTTCGGTAAAAATTAGTACTTAATTCCAAATACTTAATAGTGATGCTAAATAAATACAGTTTGGTAAAAATTAGTACTTAATTTCAAATACTTAATAGTGATGCTAATTTTGTAACGTGGTCTGAACTATCTCTCTTTTGTCAATTGCTGTTGGGTCATTATCAGCAATCTTAATAAAATTCTCCTTTTCAAAAAAAAAGAAAGAAAGAAATACTGAATTCATTAAGTGGCTATGGAATAAGTAATAAATTAATTTTTATTGTTTATATTTTGTACTGCAGTTTCAACATCATTTAATTTATTAATAGTTTCGTTGTTTGTTATCAAACATGCTGAAATTAAAAAAATACTTAATCCAATAAGATGAGACTTGTCCACATTAATAGGTTTTAGGCATGCCCACGGTTTTGGAACTGTCGATTCCGGTTCTAGAACTACCGTCAGTTCTGATTCAATTCCGGTTTGGTTCCGGTTCTATTATGCTTTTGGTTTTGTTTTTAAATTGTGGCAATTTTGGTTACAATATTTTTTTTTATCAAAATTTCTTTTGTTTAATAATTTTTTCCTTTCTTTATTGGAAACGTGATATGTGATGTAGAGTAAGAAACTCAATTATTTTATATTTAACAAAAAGGACAATGGACGTGTAAATAATACTTAAGATTTACTCAAATCAACAAACAATCATTACAAACATCATATGAATAAAGGGATGGTTTGTGTCATAGTTTAAAAAATAATTATGCTAAAAGAAATTTAAAAAGTTAGCGATGAATACGAAATTCACAAGAATATTTAGAGCTCACATAGTTGATGATTTAAGAAAGAATAATACCTAAAACCTGAAAAAAAAAAAAGAAATTAGCATTTCGATACTTATGTTAGTACGTGGTTCAAGAGAGAAAACTATGTTGAAGATATGTGTATTGCATGTAAAATGTGTAACATAAGGGAGAGTATCTGGTGTAAAATATACTCCATCCGTCCTACAAAAATAGTCCACATTGAGTTTTGAGTTTTGTGGGACGGAGGTAGTATTATATTTATTATTTCTTAGATTTGAATTTATTTTTGATATTAATATTAGTGACTTTTTTATGATTTCTATTTTCTGAGTTTTTTTTTATTGATAAAAATATTAGCTATCGACCCTATGAATGATGAAGCAATAGTGAAGAAGAACTGCATGTTTGTGGTGGTGGGAAGAAATTGGTGAAAGAACTGTTAAAATTTAATTTTTTGTAATTAAAAAATGATGAAATTATCGGAATACAGTTAAATCGGTAATTGAACTGATGATTTATACGGTTCAAAATTGACTGTTAGAACCGTCGGTTCACGATTTTAAAATTAATAGAACCTTAATCGAACCACCAATACAAGATTTGATTATGGTTTTAAAATTTTTGAAAACGATTCAAGAACCGAAACCTTATAGTCCGGTTTGGTTCCGATTCGATTCCGGTTCGAACCACCTTGGGCATGCCTAGCTTTACCAAACAATAGTTCCAATAAAATTAATTTATTTTGTTAGGGACAAAGTAAAGGACTGTTAAATTGCAACGAAAAGAGTAAATCGTAAGTACTTCCTCTGTTCTAAAATAAGTGTCGTTTTAGCAAAATCGAAAAATTTCAAAATAAGTATCGTTCTCATATTTTAATGCACTTTTTGTCCAAAATTTTCAGAATTACCCTCAAAAGAATTAATACTATTGGTGGACATTTTTTTAATGAGGATAGTTGAGGATATTCAAGTAATTTTATTATCCTATTTAAGAGTTTATTAAACTATGTGCAAAGTGTAGAATGACACTTATTTTGGAATGGAGGGAATACATTTTAATTTTCATTCAGAGAGTCGGGAAGGAAAACATGCGGGTGCGACCTTACTCCGTTTTTCCTATTTAGAATACAACATTATATGTTTATATATGCTTAAGAGAAAATTTTTAATTAAGGGCAGTGGGGAATTTTTAATTAATAAAAAGGATATAAGTTTTAGATAATATAGATTAAGAGCAGTAAATTATTTTCTTAAAATCTTAAACTTAAATTGTTTATGTTGTGCCGTGACTGCCCTTACTCTATCGTTCTTATTCTCTCCGGCACCGTCTTCATCGTCGCTGGTGTTTCTCCGAGGATCCAACACCACTCTCTGCCGTAGGTATTCCAGTTCCAACGAGCCTCGAATACCGTTTTCCATAAGAAGCCATACTCGACGAAATCCTCATTGTCACTACAACCGAGCTTTAGTTTTCCCTTTCTTTGTAAATGGGAGACCTGACTACGCGGCTGTCCGACAAGTTGATGACCCTTTTGGATTACTCAAAGCCTGCAATTGTTCAATATGTCATTAATACATCACTCCTCATCTTAGGTATTGAAAAACAATTAGAAAATGAATACTGAAAATTATTTAAAAGCTAATATGGTGAGCAATCTTAAAATTAAGAAAAGTATCAATATAAACAAACATCAAGTACTATACCATCGCTGATTTGGGACAAAGAAGCATATTCATCAAGAAACTAAATCAATAACTACATTGATTATTTCTAGAGAAAGATAAACTAAATTAGATCAGTTTATGACTTAGATTGAATTGATCACCCGAAAGAATACAAGATGAATTGATTATTGCCAATTTCGTGAACCATTTTGCTACAATTACCTTGCGAGAATGCCAAACATGAATATTTGGTGGAGAGACAATTCGCGCGTGGTTGGAAGAAAGTAGAAGAGTTTTGGCTCTTTTTTCTCTAGTTCAACGTGATAGGATCAAAAGAGTAAGGGTAGATACGGTAATGCATAAATAATTCAATTTCAGGATTTTAAGAAAATAATTTACTGTCTTTAATCCATATTATCTAAAATTTGTACCCTTTTATTAATTAAAAACTCTTTACTGCCCTTAATCCAAATTTTCCCTATGTTTAATGTATTTACGTAGCCGATTAAAGTAGTAGTATAATGTTAATGTTTCTTTTTTAAAAAATATCTATTTCGTGTCTTTTGTTACCACACCCGGTCAATTTTGGTATTTGCATGAAGAAGCGAAAATGGTTATATATTATGGTCACGAAGCTGAACTGGTTGACGTCAAACGCGTCATATCATTTGTCGTAATCATGGACTTGTGAGTTTGATCGCATGGTTAAATCTAATGATGCAATTTCTTTTTTAACAAATTAATGATACAAATTGATGATGACATGGACGAAACTAAGAAACTAAAAAGGTTGTTAATTTCTTAGTAATTTCTGATGCGTTCATAATGTTGAGTCGGTCTTTTTTTCCTAACCTTGTCGTTTTTGGTTTATGTACATTGCAAAGAGAGAAGTAAACACAATAAAAATTAAGAAAATACTGCTCTTTCGACTTCTGATTAAAAAAAGAAACGCTTTATCGTATTCTTTTAGTTTAACAAATTATATTATTTTTTTGGGATAGAAAAAATACTGATATGTGTATATTAGGATGAAGGAGCCTGTTGAATCTGTTGATTGCAGTTTATAAATTTCCAAGACATTTCCACTACCTGCATATAGATTCATTTGCTTTTGCCTTTTTTGGACGTAGATATCGTCATCAGCTTGCGTATTCTCCCTGTATGGTGCATCTTCTTTTAGGCTTAGGTCAACTTTCTGCAGTCTTCTTTCTTGTTCGCTCCTCTAGCTGGAGACCTTTTAGAGCTATGCGGTCTTCCTTTCCCGACATCAAATGAAACTCACTTGTCGGACGCACTCCATGATCCCTAATTAATTTGTTCGGTAATTTACTACTAAAATTTAGATTTTTACATTTGATTTATCGAGTTTTTGATTATTTAAAAACTCGATATAAAGTATGAACTATAATTTTTCTTTTTTTTTGTCTTTTTTTTTTGACAGAGAGCGCATAATAGAAACCTTTCTTTCTTCGATATAGTTATCCAAGTTACTCAAAAAAAGATATAGTCATCCAAGACTACCAACTTACAAGTCGCATGTAACACAAGATCTGCAAGTCGTAATAGATGTAAATTAGGCTAAATAAGCAATTAATTTAGTAGTTTAATTAACTCTGCAGTAGTTCACAACTAAATTGTTCCTCCCTAACCTAATGTATCTTATGATGCTGCCATAGTTTTACTTGTTGATTTTTAGTATCGACTTTATGCATCTGTTTTGGAGCCAAACAAAATAAGGGTTGCATTTGTATTGCATTAGCTGGTATCTTTGTGTTATATTTAGTGTTGCTCTAGTTAAATTGCAATTATATATATTTAACACTAATTATTTCAGTACAAAAGAATCATAAAATAGTTTTTTTTGTCGACAGTTTTGCTCATGGGATTTTAATTATTTGGTTAAAAAAAGTCGGTGAAAATTGATAAATATCCTTCTCCAGTGCCCCTTTCAGTTTCAGTGGAAGCGAAAAATCCCAACATTTCTCGACTTACACTGTAGAAAGCTGCATAAATGACTATCCTTTCTGAGGTCCTTTCAACCAATGTAAAATAGGTCGAATGAACTGATTAGTGCTCCATAATCGATGATGAGACACATTACCAAGCAATTTGGTTATGTGATAAACGTACTGACTAGTTCAATTGCAAACATGCAACGATGAATCGATGATAATTAAAATAGCAATGCTAGCTCCATTTGTTCAAAAAAAAAAAAATTATTCACATCAAGTTTTGACATTCTTACTAATTTTAGTATAAATTTCAAATGTCAATATAAACTATTTTTCTAAAATAGAAGAAGTATGTATAATTCATAAGTTATATAACATTTACTATTTTTGTGGGGATAAAGACACACTATTAATATTTGTTAGTAAGAGAGATTTCTTGTTTGTCCAACGACATTTGTTTTACTTTTTGTCTCATTTTACCTCTTAAAACACCTCTCAAACACAAATTCCAATACTATCGAAACAATTTTTTAATTTACCTTTTAAAAAATATTCCAAAAATTATTTTTACACAACTTTCGTTCACCACCACCGGACGGTGGCGGATAATGGTGGAGGTGGTCTAAAAATATTAATATTTTACCTAAACAATTTTTTAAATTTTATTTCAAATCATATTTTAAATCAAATCTCAAATCTAAAACAAAATGTGGGCAAACAAGTGCATCCTTTTGGCTCAAATTTGAAAATTGCGGGGAGAGTAATTTTCGGAAAAAAATCACAAAAATCATCACAATATAAAAGCACCGCCAGAAAATATGTGGTCATCTGATGATATGTAGCACTGTGGGAAGTCTTATAACATCATCATCATTGCTCCCCATGTTCCAAAGTTAGTGGCATTTATCCAAATATATTTTGCATCTCAAGTTCATAGTCTTTTTCGTCTGATCTTCATTGCTAATTTTACGCTTGAGAAATGTCAGCTAAAAATTTAAAGATCGTTGATATATTAGGGCGCTCCAGATCGTTTCTTCGAGACTTTGTATACCACCTACTCAATGTCAACGTTTCCTCACTGCCTAGTCTTCAGAAACCTGTATGGATAACACACAGAAAAAAAAAGTCAGCGCCCTCAGATTATATCAAGGTTAGTGGCTTTCTCTGTTATAAGAATTGAGAACAAATGCATAGCATGAATTAGAGTGAATCTGTAGCTTAGATTGAAGAACATTCATGTTAATTACTACGAATTTTGATGCTTCTAAAGTTATTTGCTTCCGTAGCCCAAAACAGATTTGAACTAGTAGAAGTAATTCTTACATCTAAACGGATAATCTGTCCCGATGTGAGGCTATTAGGGTTGTTGAACTGATTAACTTGCCAATGTAGAATTTTGATGATACTTGGCTTTGAAACTGGGTTCCTCTGTCAGATAGAGATCTAAGAGATGTAGGGAAGGTATGAATTTTAATTGATACTCCTCCGGTCCTTATTATAAGGCATTTCGATTTAACCTAAATTTCACGTTGGATGTCTTTCTTTAATTAAAATAAAAACCTTAAAAAACATTTCCTCATAATTAAGAAAACATAACATATGTGAAAATATATTTTTAAGGTTTTCTTTTTCTAATTAAAATAACATTCTTGGTGAAACTTAGGACAAAATCAAAATCTCTTATAATAAGGACCCGAGGGTAGAACTTATCAAGCAATGTGCTATTATTATGGTTCTGTTTTGTGCTTTATGGTCGAAATTCTATGTTTTAGAATGTTGAGTACCGTCTGTGACTGTGCTTCTAGAGGAAGAACGAAGAATCGAAATTGAATCAACGGTTAGCAAAAATAAAAACTTGATTCATGCTAGATTTGTTGAAACTTCTTTAAATATCTACATTAGGCCTGTGATCAAGTAAGATCTCCGAAGGATTGAATGTGGAAAAAAAAGACTGATGAAAAAAATCCAACAAAAAGGTGTAACCAGTATGCTCACTAGTTTTGGTTGGAAAGGAGCATCATCTGGTTTCTAGCTACTCAAACTGCTGAAAAAAAGCTTCTGAAGAACACTTTATCTTCTTAATGATCCACCCTATTGGCCAGGTCAGGACAGCAATTCCAATGCATACCATCCATTGCTGCCAAGTTAGTGGCTTTGTATCTGCAAACTTATGTAGCAGTTCCACTATCAGTATCTGCACCAAAATTATCGGTCCGATTATGACCCCAAGCCATTTTCTCCTGCGCATCCCCTCAAAAATATTTCTATCGATTCCTTTGGTGTTCAGCATCAGGCAAAGCTGCCAGAGAACAAAAATGTTGAAGATCATGGTATCTTTTGCTTTCGAATCTAACTTGAAAGCTGATTGTCCCTGGAATTGTATGGTCAGCAGAACCACAATGGGATAGGCTGCTTGTCCAACTATGTTTTTCCACATGTCGATTGTTATGAATGGCTGATGACGTTTGACTTTTGGTAGTAGCTTGAGTTCTGCTGGCTCCTCGACGGTGATAGCTACTGCTGCCAATATACCCACTATCAACTTCACCCATAGTACTTGAACCGTCGCGTAAGGGACATTTCCAGAAGAGATGGCTGTGACCATGTTGAAAGTTGGAGGTTCTTTGGCAGAAACAGTTGAAACAAAGTCTATCACAAGGGAAGAGATGCTGACAGTAAGTTGGAACTGTGCATATAGCTGGATTTTGTGATACATAGCTCTACCCCATGTCAGTACTCTGGCCAAGGATTCAAAATTATCATCCATGACGACAACATCTGAATTTGCCTTTGCTTGTTGAGTCCCTTGGGTTCCCATTGAGAGACCTACATCAGCTTCTTTTAATACAATTGAATCGCCTGTTGTATCGCCTGTAACAGCCACAACTTCACCTTTCCTTTTCAAGCATTGGACCATACAAAGTTTGTCCAATGTAGAGGCTCTCGCCATCACTCGGATTCGTTGACATTTCTCCAGTTTCTCATCATCCGGATAGTTTTGAAACTCTAGCCCATCCACTACTTCTCCTGCATATATGTCCCTAGCAGCCTCCAGGAAACCACACTCTATGGCCATGGCTTTTGCTGTGAGAACATCATTTCTTGTAATGATTTTGATGTCAAGTCCTGCTTGTTTGCAATCCTGTATTGCCTTTTTTACTTCAGGCCGACATGAAAATTTCAGGCTTGCAACCCCTATGAAAACCGTACACTCTTCTTTGATCTCAGGGACTAAGATGCCATCTTTCTCATCAGAATTTTCTGAGATTCCTTTGTGCGCAAATGCAATGCAGCAGAGGCCTTTAGATTTCATCTCTTGAACTGTATTCACCATGTTTTCTCTGAAACTGTTAGGAATAGGTTTGATGTCCCCATTCTTATCATAGTAATGGGAAGATATTCCCAGTATGGTTTCTGCTTCACCGTTCTGGTGCACATGAAGACTATTATCAACCTTGTTCTTTATCCAACTTCCTGTGTTTTCAGAATTATATGTCAAATCAGAAGGGTCAATGGTATAATTTTCCCTCACTTGTTCCAAATCCAAGCCTAGATCTTGAGCACCCCAATTCTGAATTGCAGTTCTGATCTGACCATCCAGTGAACCACTTGATGAAGCCTCTGAATGTGACAAAAATATTGCCTGATATAGAAGTTCGAGAACAATTTGGGGAATCACTGATGAAGGGTATTCCACAATACGGTAGTCACAAAAACGGAATGAAGTTACTGCCAAATGGTCCAATGTCAGCTTACACTTCTCATCTGTGATAACCACAGTTGTGGTACCAATTGCTTCATATGCGGAAAGATTCCTTACCTGTGCCTTTTGAGCTGTTATCCTTTTGGCTGAGAAGGCAATGCTTATCAAGACAGCCAGAAGCAGTCCTTCCGGAATTGCAGTTGATGCTATGGCAACTGGAGTTGCCAGGATACCTGTTACATCACCACAAACTTTCCAAAATCTTGTCTTCCCTGCAACAAAATGTGATTTTCCTCTATCATCATGCAAGTTGCCAATGAAATAACGTACCAGCAGTACTAGAAGAACAACAGAAGAAACCACCAAACCAATGATCGTGATAAGTTTGGACAGCTCATGTAATCTCTTTTGTAAAGGAGTGATCCGATCAGAATGATAACTTTCTGAGCTCAACAATTCCCCCCATGCTGTGTTTTTACCTACTGCAGTAATAAGCATACAGGCAGAACCATTGATCACCTTGGTCCCAGAGAGTAAGAATGGGTTATGGTTGCCATCGACTTCCACCGAGTTCATGTTAGCTCTCACATTTGATTCATCCACCTGCAAAGGGCTGCCATCTATGAACAAACCATCAGCAGGGACCTGATCCCCAGTGTTTAAGACAACAAAATCTCCAACTACGGCTTTAGAGGCTGGAATGTTCAGGAGATGACTGTTTCGTCGAACCAAGATGTTGAAATCATCTCTGGCTTTAGACAACTTAAACAGTTGTCTTTTAGGCCAGAGGTTGCCTATAGCAGTAAGTGTGATAACAAGAAAGGCTGCTACACATATACTAATCCCATCGGATAATCCTTTCCTCCCATGATGTTTTAGTCCAAAACCAAGGGCAAGTACTCCACAAAAGGTCACCAGGATCACTACGGGGTCTCTAGCAGTCGCGATAAGAACGCGCCACAACTTTGGGGGTTGCTGGTGAAGTCTGTTTGAACCGTAGTTCTGAATCCTACGATCAATGTCTCCATTGTCTCCCGGGACACCCTTGTTGGCATCGGATCCCAGCATCGAGGCAACCCCGTTGACTCCTCCAAGTTGATGAAGCAGCTCAACATCTCTGTCGCGGACGAGATTGAAAAGGCAATCTGGTTCAACTTGGAGAACTGTCTCTGGTACTGTTGGCTGCTGCAAAAGGTTATCCAACAGCTCCTCCTCTTGGTTCTTTATAACCTCATTCTCCGCTGTTTTAGGATAGAAAGCCATGGCACTATAAATTAGTAGTCTGGTCCGTTGCCAACGTTTTACAGGATCCATGCTTGCTTCCAGAATATCACTCATTGTTTCTGCACTCATTTCTTCTACGAGTAAGCTGATTAAGTGCTTTAATGAATAAAGTAACTGCAAGAAGTGATTGTCAAACAGGGCTTGAAATGTAGAGTGAAGTCAGAAAGATTGAGAGCTAAAAAGATTTGACTGCAAAAATGGATTATCAAACAGAGGCTGAATGAGCTTGAGAGCTCTGGAATTCAAAGCAAAACTCATGGTGTATATATTTGCTGACTTTTTTGATTGATCAGCTCGTCATACGCGTAATACCTTGTCTTCTTTTAGTTTAAGATTCTTCATTTCTCTAACCCGCGTTAATTGTGTGGTTCCCTTTCTCTCCAACCTCGGAACTTACTTCCAACTTCCTAATAAACTTCTTAGGAATTTACTGTAATGGAAATCTCGGTGTTGTTTAGCACTGTTCTGGAGGTCGAGGTTCAATTGTGGCTAGGATCTTGAGACCTTTCAATTTGTCTCTTTTATTATTATTATTATTATTATTATTTCTTTAATGCAAATCTTATGACTGTGATTAATTTAGACTAATCTATCGACTGTATTAGTTAAATAACGGGACTCTAGTTTTACCACTAATTTTATTGAAAGACTAATTTTGTTAAACCTGATTTGCCTTTCGTAGGTTCTCCTCTAATTTTGATGATACTTCTGTAGGATGTATTGTTCAAGGTTGACTACAAGTCTGCAACAGCGAACTCCATCCCAATAGGAATCCAGAAAGTTGTACTAATTGCTGTTTATTAATCAAAATAATTAAAACCTTAAACATTACACAAATAGAGAAACTAAGAAACTAATTACTGCACAATGAATATGAATGTTGAGCTAACTGCTCAATTTACTACTGATCGTTCTGTTTCTCTTATGCTTCATCTGAGCTTGAGAGCTCTGGAAATCAAAGCAAAATTCATCTTGTATACATAGTTTTTGGCTTTGGACCTGCTTCCTTCATGGAGGGAATAGGGAGGGGAAACTACCAGGCAGCTGTTATGAGTTAGGACAAGAAGAAGCAGTTAAATTAGCTTAATCAGACCAGCCTAAGCTGACTTAATGATTACATAAACTAACTGAACTCAAGTGCTTATAATTGCTCGTGTGCGCGGTTCATTTCCTCTTTCTTTGCGGTACTTCCTCGTAACTTCATTGTCAATTCTACTTCTAGTTTTTGAAATGCAAATCCAGGTGCTTGGTATTATTGGTTTTTTGCCACACACATATTGATATTGAACACGTAAAATATTGTTAGGATTGTGAAATGAGTCTTTGCTGATGAGGAGGATAGTGAGATTTGGGTGTGTGTGCGCGTGTAAGAGTTTTGAAAACATTAATGAGCTTTTAATCATTGAAACATACTCCTTATCTTTCAATGACCGGGTTATAGGCATATTACGAGTGTCAAAACCCTAACATCACACAAAGTTTAGGTTTCCATCGAACTCCATCTTTCTCCCTTTCTCTAACCCGCGTAAATTGTGTGGACTTTTTTTTTTTTTGGATTTCTTCCAAAGGTTAGGAACTTACTTCCAGCTTCCTATTGAACTTCTTGGTAATTTTAGTGTAATGGAGACCTCGGTGTTGTTTACTAACAGCACCAATGATTTTGTATCCATTCAAAATCTTGGCTAAATATGAATTAACTCCGCCAATAAAAAAAAAAAAAATGAATGGACCCTTCCGAATTAACGCCATAAATGGACTTACATTAAGTTACCAGATGAGCTAAGAACCGCCATCGTTTGAAACAACAACAATTTGATCGAACAAGAGATCAAATTGGGGACCAGAATAATTTTGTTGCACCTGATTTGCCTTTTGTTCAATCTTCTCTCCCTCTCTATTCCTTCTACCTAAGATACCAAAGCCCAAACAAGAGATCTTTACTTTACTACCTATATTCCCAGACCTTTCTCCCAATATAAGATGTGGGTCGTTTAAACAATAATTAAACACTAAAATATTCTCAAGAGTTATGAGCCTCCAACAAATAGTATGTGTGTGTGTGTGAGGGAGATAGAGAGATCTTTTTCCTTTAATTTTAATGATACTTTGTGATTTCTTTATAATTCTGTAATTGCTGTTATTAATCAACTAATTAAGACCTAAAACATTACACAAATAGAGAAACTAATTACAACTGTATTGCAATGGATATAAATGCGGAGCTAACTGCTGAATTCCTACTGATCATTCTGTTTCTATATGCTTCATCTGAAGTTCTTCAATTTAAGTTAACTGAAGAATGGTTTCTCTGGAACAGGAATGCATTTCACAATCCATCCAATAGGCCATGATGCAGCTGCTATGCCTATACATATTCCCCATTGTCCCCAATTCAGCCTTTCTGTATTGGCAAACTTCTTCAAGAACTCCACCATCACCACTTGAAGAATAACTGTAAACCCTATGATTCCTAAGAACAACTTGTTCTTGTGTACCCCTTCAAACACATTCTTCTTCTCAAGCTTCCTTGCATTGAACTCATTGAACACTTGGCAAAGCACAAATGTATTGAATATCAACGTTTCGTTCACCTTCTTGTTAATGCCAAAAATCGACTCGCCTTTGAACTGTAGAGTCAAGAGAATGGTAATCTGGTATAAGGCCTGAGCTAGTAAATTCCTCCACATGATGTTTGTGATGAGAGGTTGAGTGCGGCCGACTGGAGGCTTGTCCATGAGCTCTTTTGTTGGCCTTTCTGTTGCCAATGCTAATGCACCTAAAGTATCCATGATGAGATTTACCCACAGGAGTTGTACTGCTGTTAATGGAACTTCTCCTGCTGAAATTGCTGCTACAAAATTGATTACGAGGGCTGCAATATTAACAGTTAGCTGAAACTGAATGAATTTTTGGATGTTGTTGTAGACACATCTTCCCCATCTCAGGACTGTTGCAACTGATGCAAAATTGTCATCCATAATGACAATATCTGAACTCTCTTTGGCTACTTCAGTGCCTTGAATTCCCATAGAAAGTCCGATATCTGCTTCTTTTAGGGCTGGTGCATCATTTGTTCCATCTCCTGTTACTGCTACAACTTGACCTTTCTCTCTTAAACATTTCACCATGAGAAGCTTGTCGAAGGGAGATGATCTCGCCATGACGACAATCTTGTCGACTTTGGCCATTCTTTCCTCATCTGAGTAGTTGCGAAATTCCACACCTTCCACTACTAATCTATCATCAGCTTTATCATTGGGCTGAAGTATTCCACATTCTGTTGCGATTGCTCTTGCAGTGAAGACATTGTCGCCAGTGATCATTTTAATCTTGACACCAGCTTTTTGACAATCTTCCACAGCTTTCTTCACACCAGGGCGACATGGATCTTTTAGCCCTACAATCCCCAAAAGGATGAGATTTTTGTCTTGCATTGTTTGCTCAATTTCTCCATGGTCATTGTCAGCTTCTGAAACTTTCTTGTGCGCAAATCCAATGCATCGCAGACTGCTGGCAGCCATCCCATGAATAATCTCCTCAAATTGCTTTCTCTCGAACTGATGAAGAACAGAAACTTCACCCTCAGCATTGTAGTAATGTGAGCACATTGCTAGTATCATTTCAGCAGCTCCTTTCCAGTGGACATGGACCGAGTTATCATCATTCTTCCTTATCAAGACGCCGCTTCTTTTCTTCTCTGAATTGAAAGTTTCAACTTGAAGAATAGGGTATTTCTCTTTTAGTCTCTCCATATCCATATCCAAATGCGAGGCAGCCCAAGAAAGAATTGCCTTTTCAGTTGGACTTCCTGAAAACTCAAAGCCAGTTTTAGACCTAAAAGCAGAACCTGTTGTGTTCAACCCAACAGCCTGTTGGAGGAGTTTAAGAACATTGACTGCGATATGGCTGTAGCCTCTTTCTTCAACAGAATCTTTTCCCAACCAAAATTTGGTTACAGTCATTCTGTTTAAAGTAAGAGTACCTGTTTTGTCGGTACAAATTGTTGTTGCAGATCCCATTGTTTCGCAAGCCGAGAGTTTCCTCACCATTGCCTGATCAGCCATCATTCTCTTCATTGAATAAGCAAGTGTAAGTGTTACAGCCAATGGAAGACCTTCTGGAATTGCAACAACCACAATGGTTACTGCTGCAGCTATAATCCTCACAACTGCATTCATCACATCATCGAATTTTGTCTTGCTGCCGTTGTACTCTTTATTTCCGCTTTCATCTTTTGTGTGCCCTGTGAAATACCGTACTAATAACACCACAAGAACAAAGAAAGCAACTGCTAAACCAACTTTACCAATCGCCGAGGTCAGCTTGTTCAGACGCTCTTGAAGCGGCGTCTTCTCATCAGAATCGCCGCTGACTGAGCTCATCATCTCACCCCAAGTTGTGTTCATCCCAACAGATGTAACAAGCATTTGACCATAACCATCAGCAACTTTGGTACCCGAAATCAAGAAAGGATTTCGACTATGATTGATCTCAACGTGATCGCTTTCTCCAGTCATACTCGATTCATCAATGCGCAACGAATGCCCATGTATGAATAATCCATCAGCAGGAACTTGATCACCAATCTTCAAGCAAACAACATCTCCAACAACGATTTCAAAGATCGAAATCTGTTGCCTCCTTCCATTTCTCACAACTTCAACTGGAATGTTGCTGCTTAGTTTGGAAAGCTTCTCAAATTGCCTGCTCTGCCTGAAATTGCTAATAGCAGAAACAAAGATGACAAGAAAAACAGCAACAAAAATGCTACCACCGTCATACCATCCTTCTTTGGGTCCATGAACTTTAATCCCGAAACCAAGAGAAAGTCCAGCACAGATCATGAGAATAACAATTGTAAGATCCTGAAATGCTTCCCAAACAAAATGGAAGAATCCCTTTGGAGCTGGCTTAACATATGTATTACTACCAAACGCTTCGATTCTTCGCGAAATCTCGTCGCCATTTTCGCCATTTATGCCTTGAGTAATATTGAGAAACAGAGAATGAGCAATACCTTGAACCCCGCCAAGTTCTTTAACATGGCTGATATTCTTGTCCTTGACAAGCTTTGTGAGGCTGGATTCATCAACATTGTAAAAGCTGGAACAGTCTTCTTTGTCGATGTTGAGTATAACGCTATCAAGTGATTCCGGCGAAATCTTTCTCTTTGGACGGCGGAGAACATTTTTAAAGGCAGTTGAACAATAGATTTTGACAAAAGCAGAGCGCCATTTTTTCTGGTTTTTGTTGAGATGCATAACAAAGTCCATGCATAACAAGTTCACTTCAACTTTTGTGGACATCTTCTTTTTTTTTTTTTCAAACCTTCAAGGTTGGAAAAAGAGTGAAAAAACGAGGGAATCAAAAGACCAAATGATGTAGTGAAGATGGTCTTGCTCTGTTTTTCTAGATAGAATTGAAAACCCGAATCGGGATTCGGACGAAAATGTTTCTGAAATATGAGCAGGTTTAGATACGATGATGATAAAGAAAGGACCTTGTTATTATCAAAAGTCTGAAAATTGGCTGGCAAAACTAAAACCAAAAAAAAAAAAAGAAAAGAAAGAAAACAGGATTAATTGAAGGAATCAATCTCCAAAGATTGGAGGAAAATGTAAATGAGCTACTGGGTTCTAAATTTACAACTGAATGAAATCATGAACGAGGGGGTTTAATTTATATAGGTTTTCAGGACTGTAGTTTAGATAGTTCGTCAACCTAGGATCCGATTCCAAAACGACTGGAAAAAGCGGGGAAAAGAAAAAACAAAAGAGGAGAATGTAAGGAAGAACACCTTGTAAGGTAATCAATCAATATTAGTGTTTGTTCCAGGAAGCTGACCAACTGAAAAATAATTACCTTATTATATCTTTAATATAAATCCGCAGTGGAGACAGCCGCCAAATGGGCTGAGCTGGGTGTAAAACGCGGCGGTGCCGAGGTTGCGTAACGTTTGTCCGAAGGATATACTCGGTAAGGAAGTTTTATGATTTTCAGTCCTTATTATAATTAAGATATTTCAATTTGTTTTAAATTCATTTAGTATGTTATTTTAGTTGAAAATAAATTTATAAGAAAATGTAATATCATATTTATTGTGTCTAATAATTATTATAAAATATTTTTAAAATTTTATTTTTCAATTGAAAGTACGTATTATATCAAACATAGGACAAAATAACTTTTAATAAAGGCAAGAGCACCATGTATAAATTGTATTGTGAAAATCATGAACACTTCTTAGCTAATAAAAAAATTGTTTCTAATGTTTAGGGATTTTTGTTAAATTAAAAAAAAAAGAAATTGAAAGAGGGAAAAAAAAAATGGCAAAGAAATAATAGCGTCAACTATGGGCCGGAGACCAGGCCGGTCCAGTCTCTTTTGTTCCTATCAAGCCAATAATGGTCCGCGTCACAGAATATTCAAATCAACGTTTACTTATTGTGGAAGCAATTTTTCTTGAAATTCAATGCGAATTTGACATTATTATGTTTTCTTTAACAGTTAAAGTAAGCAAGGAAAAGAAAAAAAAATACTCGTGCTAATGACTGCTCCTTCTGATCCTTATATAAGCTATTTTAATTTTTCTTAAAATTAATTCATTGTATTTTTTAATTAAAAATATAAATTTTAAAATGCATTTTCACATTTATTTTGTTAATTATTATGAAGCATTTTTTAAGATTTTATTTTAATTAAAAAATACTAAATAAAATCAGAAGAAACTAAAATAGCTTATGATAAGGAGAGTAATATAGTTCTTGAAAGTGTTTCCTTTATACACCCATATTTGATTTAGTTTCACTTAAATAAATTGAGTACATCTACTTTAGAATATATATATATATATATATACATATTATTTTTGATGTTGGAAAGTCCGAATATGATCTATATTTATATGTATAATGTACTTTATGAAAGTGTGGTAAGTATTTCATATCTCAAAATAATAGTCTTGTTTTTTGTACTGTAGGATGGAGATATATTTCCTTCACATTGAAGATTCTTATTGAAATGATTGAGTAAATTACATTATCTACATTGAATCCCTCTGCAAGATTTTACTCCCTCCGTTCCATAATTATTATCCAGTTTTACTAAAATGAAAGATTTTATTTTTGGTCAAACTTAACTATATTTTACCTTAAACAACCGGATATACCCCCACATAAATAATTGTTTAACCACTAAGATTTTATGGATAATGTTTTTTACTAAGGACAAATGTGTAACTTGATCTATAAAAAGTCAAATTGGACAATAATTATGGGACGGAGGGAGTATTATCTTTTCTTCTTCTTCTTTTTTTTTTTCCGCAAGGAAATAAAATATTCCAATGTACTCTATCAATTCATGCTAATGGAAAATTCACTTAAGATAATTTATCCTAACAAAAATAATCAACGAAAAACTGTAACCATCGTATGACCGATTATAGCTTTACTTGCAAAACGTGTTTGCTCAACTACAGAAAAATGGATTTGGTTAGATGAGGTTAACATCCACCACGTAAAAGCATCTAAATATCTTACCACGAATTTGGCTTCAAAAATTAAAGTGGGAGGAATAAATTAGGCTTCTTCCTGCCCAATGTTTCCAAGTATTGTTCTGCATTTTGTTGCCTTTCTGGTAAAAAGAGTGGACCAGTATTGTATAGCTTATCTAACTAACTTGTCACCAACAAGACAATACGCGGGATGCTGATTCCTAAATTCAAATTGAAGTTATGATTGTTAGGAAAATACTGTATATTGTTCTCTTCGTCTTAGATTTTTATTTTTCGTGTCATTAGAGCTGAAAATAAAAATTCAATTGGACATGAGTAGATAATTATCTGTGTAATTAAGTACTGTCAAACGGTGTATCTTAACAAGGTCCCCATGAAAGTAGATTTAAAATAGAACTTTTATTTATGTACAAGAGGAGCGTATGAAATCTTCCCCAAGTAATTACTCTTCATTTTTCTTTAAACCCTATTTGAGTAAACAGCTAGCTACTTTAGAAGAAATTAAGTCATTCTTTAATTTGTCATTCTTTTACGTGATATATCTTCAGTTTGGAATGAAAAGGATCCCCCCCCTTTTTTTTTTTTTTTTTGAAACGGTGGATCCTATCATTCCCCTTCAGAGGAAACAAACATGTCCGAAATGCTGACATACACTTTCTCTCTATGTTCCATTTCAATAACTGACATTGTTTTATTATTTCGATTTAATAATAATTACGGTTAAAATGGGATGGAAGGAGTAATAAAAGACTCGAGAGGATTTTAAGGTTGATTTGTACGCACTAATACTTATGTAAAAAAACTTGTGTGACCAAACGATCATATAAATATATATATATATGTATATATATATATATATCCTTGAAGCTGTTAGATGAAATTGCATGCATGTTTTCTTTTTTGTAATTCCAAGCTACATTTCGAAATTCAATGTCGGAATATCACAAACATATCTTATCCCACCAACGCATCTTTTGGCTACATCTGATTTCTGAACCCCTATTAATTACTACAGGCCAGACACAATAATTAATGGGAAAAAAGCAATTTTAGAGAAAATTAACCAACAAAATTGGAGTGATGATTTGCTGCACTAAAAATATGGAGTTGCACTATGTATTTTCGGGTATAGAAAGAGTTATACAAATCAACTATCACAGTTAAGAGAGAATGTTTAATCTCCATATCCATCTCGAAATGACTGTTTGAATTGAACTTTTATCACACTATTACTTCTATATGTTTTCAATTACAACTATTACACGCACTTCTATCTATTAGAATCTAAGATTAATCTGTGCCCACAATAGCAAGAATCCAAATTGAAACTGTATTTTGCCAAAATCATACAGATGTAAAGATGTTTACACAAACAGCATAATCTACATTAAAGCCTAAGAGTGGCAAGGATAAGTACAGATGAAATGAGATGAAGTTAAAGATTCAATGTAGAAACAGATGCTAAAATCCATGGAAAAAGTACCAGTGAACTCTACACTGATCAGTGTGCTTTAGTCTATGCACCTAAGCAATTTCCTCTTTCTCTTCCTGTTAAAGATGTTTCCCTCAATTCCTTTGGTATTTAACAAGAGGCAAAGTTGTCAGACAACAAGACTATTGAAAATCATGCTATCTTTTGCCCTGGAACTTAGATTGAAGGCTGATTTTCCTTGGAATTGTATGACCAGCAGAACTGTGATTTGATAAACAGCTTGCAAAGCTATGTTCTTCCACATTCTGCAGCTTATGAATGGTTGATTACGATTGACTTTTGGTAGTTGCGCTAGTTCTGCCAGCTTCTCCATCATGATAGCTACTGCTGCCAATATTTCGACTATTAACTTCACCAAGAGGTCGACATGGAAATTTCAGTCTTGCAAGCCCTATGAAAATCAAACACCCTTCTTTAAGTTCAGGAAGTGAATTACCATCGGACGCTTCTAAGACTCGTGTGCGCAAATGCAATTCAGAGGAGGCACTAAGATTTCATCTCCTGAACTGTTACCAGTATGTCTTCAAGTTGAGAGAATATGATATAAGGCATTTTAATATATTGAGAACAATTAACTAATACAACCTTAAATAGTGAAAGTATTGAAACCAATTACAGCTGTATACAACAGAAAACAAGTAACTAAGCTCTGATGATTCTATATGCATCTGAAGTTCTTCCACTTGAGATAGCTGAAGAGTGGCCTCTCTGGAACAGGAATGCATTTCACAATCCATCCAATTGGCCAAGATGCAGCTGCTATGCCTATACATATTCCCCATTGTCCCCAATTCAACCTTTCTGTATTGGCAAACTTCTTCAAAAACTCCACCATCACCACTTGAAGAATAACGGTAAACCCTATGATTCCTAAGAACAACTTGTTCTTGTGCACCCCTTCAAAAACATTCTTCTTCTCAAGCTTCCTTGCATTGAACTCATTGAACACTTGGCAAAGCACAAATGTATTGAATATCAACGTCTCGTTCACCTTCTTGTTAATGCCAAAAATCGACTCGCCTCTGAACTGTAGAGTCAAGAGAATGGTAATCTGGTATAAGGCCTGAGCTAGTAAATTCCTCCACATGATGTTTGTGATGAGAGGTTGAGTGCGGCCGACTGGAGGCTTGTCCATGAGCTCTTTTGTTGGCCTTTCTGTTGCCAATGCTAATGCACCTAAAGTATCCATGATGAGATTTACCCACAGGAGTTGTACTGCTGTTAATGGAACTTCTCCTGCTGAAATTGCTGCTACAAAATTGATTACGAGGGCTGCAACATTAACAGTTAGCTGAAACTGAATGAATTTTTGGATGTTGTTGTAGACACATCTTCCCCATCTCAGGACTGTTGCAACTGATGCAAAATTGTCATCCATAATGACAATATCTGAACTCTCTTTGGCTACTTCAGTGCCTTGAATTCCCATAGAAAGTCCGATATCTGCTTCTTTTAGGGCTGGTGCATCATTTGTTCCATCTCCTGTTACTGCTACAACTTGACCTTTCTCTCTTAAACATTTCACCATGAGAAGCTTGTCGAAGGGAGATGATCTCGCCATGACAACAATCTTGTCCACTTTCGCCATTCTTTCTTCATCTGAGTAGTTGCGAAATTCCACACCTTCCACTACTAATCTATCATCAGCTTTATCATTGGGCTGAAGTATTCCACATTCTGTCGCGATTGCTCTTGCAGTGAAGACATTGTCGCCAGTGATCATTTTAATCTTGACACCAGCATTTTGACAATCTTCCACAGCTTTCTTCACACCGGGGCGACATGGATCTTTTAGCCCTACAATCCCCAAAAAGATGAGATTTTTGTCTTGCATTGTTTGCTCTATTTCTCCATGGTCATTGTCGGCTTCTGAAATCTGCCTGTGCGCAAATCCAATGCATCGCAGACTGCTGGCAGCCATCCCATGAATAATCTCCTCAAATTGCTTTCTCTCGAACTGATGAAGAACAGAAACTTCACCCTCAGCATTGTAGTAATGTGAGCACATTGCTAGTATCATTTCAGCAGCTCCTTTCCAGTGGACATGGACCGAGTTATCATCATTCTTCCTTATCAAGACGCCGCTTCTTTTCTTCTCTGAATTGAAAGTTTCAACTTGAAGAATAGGGTATTTCTCTTTTAGTCTCTCCATATCCATATCCAAATGCGAGGCAGCCCAAGAAAGAATTGCCTTTTCAGTTGGACTTCCTGAAAACTCAAAGCCAGTTTTAGACCTAAAAGCAGAACCTGTTGTGTTCAACCCAACAGCCTGTTGGAGGAGTTTAAGAACATTGACTGCGATATGGCTGTAGCCGCTTTCTTCAACAGAATCTTTTCCCAACCAAAATTTGGTTACAGTCATTCTGTTTAAAGTAAGAGTACCTGTTTTGTCGGTACAAATTGTTGTTGCAGATCCCATTGTTTCGCAAGCCGAGAGTTTCCTCACCATTGCCTGATCAGCCATCATTCTCTTCATTGAATAAGCAAGTGTAAGTGTTACAGCCAATGGAAGACCTTCTGGAATTGCAACAACCACAATGGTTACTGCTGCAGCTATAATCCTCACAACTGCATTCATCACATCATCGAATTTTGTCTTGCTGCCGTTGTACTCTTTATTTCCGCTTTCATCTTTTGTGTGCCCTGTGAAATACCGTACTAATAACACCACAAGAACAAAGAAAGCAACTGCTAAACCAACTTTACCAATCGCCGAGGTCAGCTTGTTCAGACGCTCTTGAAGCGGCGTCTTCTCATCAGAATCGCCGCTGACTGAGCTCATCATCTCACCCCAAGTTGTGTTCATCCCAACAGATGTAACAAGCATTTGACCATAACCATCAGCAACTTTGGTACCCGAAATCAAGAAAGGATTTCGACTATGATTGATCTCAACGTGATCGCTTTCTCCAGTCATACTCGATTCATCAATGCGCAATGAATGCCCATCTATGAATAATCCATCAGCAGGAACTTGATCACCAATCTTCAAGCAAACAACATCTCCAACTACGATTTCAAAGATCGAAATCTGTTGCCTCCTTCCATGTCTCACAACTTCAACTGGAATGTTGCTGCTTAGTTTGGAAAGCTTCTCAAATTGCCTGCTCTGCCTGAAATTGCTAATAGCAGAAACAAAGATGACAAGGAAAACAGCAACAAAAATGCTACCACCGTCATACCATCCTTCTTTGGGTCCATGAACTTTAATCCCAAAACCAAGAGAAATTCCAGCACAGATCATGAGAATAACAATCGTAAGATCCTGAAATGCTTCCCAAACAAAATGGAAAAATCCCTTTGGAGCTGGCTTAACGTATGTATTACTTCCAAACGCTTCGATTCTTCGCAAAACTTCTTCGCCATTTTCACCATTTATACCTTGACTAATACTAACATTTAGACAATCAGCAATACTTTGAACCCCGCCAAGTTCAGTAACATGGCTGATATTCTTCTCCTTGACAAGCTTTGTGAGACTGGCTTCATCAACATTGTAAAAACTGGACCTTTCTTCTTTGTCGATGTTGAGTATAATCCTATCAGATGAAGGTGGTGAGATCTTTTTCTTTGGTCGGTGCAGAACATTTTCAAATGCCCTTGAACAATAGATTTTGACAAAGGCAGAGCGCCATTTTTTCTGGTTTTTGCTGAGTTTGTTGAGATTCATCACGAGATTGAAACAAGCCTCAACTTTTGTTGACATGGGTTTTTTTTGAAAAATCTCCTTATCCTTAGGTGAAAGAACAAAGAATTAGAAAGATCAATGGAGAGCAGAAAGCTTGTACAAGACAGAAGAGAACCCGAATCAAGAAATGAAGGAAATATATATATAAAATCTTTTATCAGAAGTTCTGAAAATCTTGAAGGTTAAAGATGATGAGAAACTGAAGCAAAGATAAATTTGAACACGATGATTGAAGCGGGACGGAACTTGGTTATCAAGTAATAAAAAGAAACGTTCAAAGTCAGAGGAGAAACAGGACAAAGAGGAGTTGGATTTTGGCAAGAAAAAACAGAATGTAGAGTTAGTCAATCTATAAGGTTTGGACAGATTAATGGATAATCTAGTATTGATTCACCAATTTGTAATGTAAGAACTGAATACAAATTGATCAGTTTGCAGCTGTTTGAACTCTGAGGCCACGCCTTGGTATTTATAAGACGTTATGCCGACTTCTAATGCTGGCATCATAAGTGGGCCCTTGTTAAGTTTGAAAGTTTTTTTTTTTTTTTTTCGGTATAATTTGAACTGAAAATAAAAAATTAAATTTTGAGAGGAATGGCGTAGTAGTCTTTATGATGATGTTTGTTCGAGGAAATTGACGTAAAATTTCCATGAAAATTCTTTTTTCTTTCGAATTGTTTTTCCCCTTTAATTTAAATAAAACATGCAGCCGAAGGTAGTACAGCAATGACGCGGTTGGACTCGTCAAGCCGTAGTTGATGTTAGCTTAAGCCAGTAGTAACACGGCTTATGATGGTATTTTACTATTTTTTACCCAATAATTTGTGGACACGTATAATTTTCTTTTCTATTTTTAATGAAATGACTTACGAGACAATTTGTGAATGTCGGCGTTAAGATAATGATGATGAACAAGTAAATATGCAAAATTAAAAAAAAAAAATTCCCATTAATTTTTTTCGATGATTAATCAAGGGACTTTTTTGCTGTAATATGCTAGTATTACATTACGGTGAAGTTTACTTATGTTGGAAGTAATTTGAGTTTGAATCAGAGATCCATGGAAGTTAAGGATGTCGACCATGTGAAATGAAGCAATGGGAACCTTACTACGGCGGTTACGTAATATACTATATCAATGGTTCAATCAATTGTACAAACTGTTATTGATTTATTGTTATATTATTATTGTAAACTTTTTTTTTCAAAAAAAAAAAAATTAGAAATAGTGATTATTGCATCTAACGTTTGACATGAAGTATAAACGAGCTAACTTGATATATATTATTAGTTCGATATCTTATATGTTTCGTGATATTATTAGTTGAATTTATAAAATTTATAGTTTGCAAGTTGGATTATTATTACAAGACAGAATGCATATTTCATATTTGTTAACAGATCTAAGCATATATCCCTAAAATAAACGATAAATTAGCTTGGAATATTTAAGTGAAAAGCAAGGGACAAAACCAACGAGCATATATATATATACTCTTATAGACTTCTTTTCTTTCCTTGGGCTTATCTTCTCCATTCATTTGGGATGGCCAAAAATAAGCATATCTTCAATGGCTTGGTGGAAAACTATCTCCAAATTAGAATTAAAAAAAATACTCTATCTGTTCTAAAATTGTTGTCCAGTTTGAGATCTCACTTTTAGTACAATTATAAGACGGAGGGAGTATTTTTTCTCAAAACGTGTTTGTTCAACAACATTAAAACAAAAAGAACATGGACAAGTCCGTAGATAACCAATTACCAATTCCTTTACGTGGTGGAAGCATCTTTAAACTTCTTTCACAAAATGTTCTTACTCTTGTTGTTTCTCTGCTTCTTTAGTAAAAAATATTAAGCTGCAGGATAATCGAATTTAACTACGTTTTGGTCTCAAACAATATTAACTTTCCCTTTAATATTAATGCACGAATAAAGATATACTTATCAAATACTCCCTCCGTCCCATAATTATTGTCCACTTTGCCCAAAAAATTTTGTCCCAAAATTATTGTCCAATTTGACTTTTTTATGGATCAAGTTATTCATAAAATCTTAGTGGTTAAACAATTACTTATGTAGGGGTATATCCGGTTGTTTAAGGTAAAATATAATTAAGTTTGACAAAAAATAAAATCTTTCATTTTAGTAAAACTGGACAATAATTATGGGACGGAAGGAATAATAAATTGTGTACAGTTTTGGGCAACGGCCTTTTTTTTTTTCCGCCCGAAAAAATCCATCATTAATATATATATATATATATATATATATATATATATTGTGTGAATTGAATTAAAAAACGATCAAATGATAGTATTTCATTTATCAGGAAAAAGATGTCAGCGTCAAGGAAATCAATGACTACGACTTCTAGGAGACTCTGAGTCTTCAGCTTCACCTGTAGTTTGAAAACAATAGGAGCTTGAACTTGAAGCTCCGAGCTTGTTTAGACTTGGACAGTTTCTTTTCTTTTAAAAAATTATTTATTTTAGTTGTGCTTTAAGCTTAAAATGCTTCCGAACATAAGTTATGGAAAAATGTTAAAAGACAATTCTTTTTTTTCTTTTTTTCTTTTTGTGGAAGATTGATTAATAATAATTGCTCACTTATCCATTATATTATCAGTATGATTAAAACCCGTGACTTATTGAAAATAATAAAAACATTCCTATTAGACTGCATCCCATCATCTAACAAACAACAAATTTATTTTTTTCCTCGGTCATTCATTCCTCCACAATAAAACAAACATGTCATGGGTTGGGGGGAAACATGTTTTTAAGATGAAAAAAAAAACACATTTTGAGATAACAAAACCAATGGGGCATATATTTTCGGATTAGTTTCTGGGTTGGAACTTGGAACTCGGCAAACAAACGGAGTCTTTACGGTTTTTCAAATTAAGTGGAATCTACATTCATATTTTCCTGTAGTTCCAGGTACGTAAATACTGATACAATTTCGGATGTCAGACTCTTTTCGCTACTTCCCACCTTCGATTTCCTCGTCAAGTCGACATAGACTTATTTATTCTTAAGGATAATTAGAAGAGAATGCTCCAACATTAGACCATGGAATGTCTATAAACAACTACTAAGCACAGCACCAAGGTTTCATCAATCTTATCTAGGAAAATGTTTCTGTATTAAAAATGTTTTATGAGATTCTATTTGTTTTCTTCTTCTTGATCTTTAGCTTGAGTATTAATTATATTACACTAGGTGTCCGAGACCATCTTCTCCACTAAAATGAATTTGAGCTAGCTCATAAATGTATATATATATATGTATATATATTCCAACAAGTGTTTTGATGTATAGGATATTAACTACATATTTTAAATAGTGTAAGAAAAATGAAAATAACGAAGAACATAAATATATTACTTTTAAAATGAATAATAATATATCTAAATACTTAAACCTAGCTGAGGAGAAAAATGAAAAGAAAAAACACTGGTCATAAATGTATATTTTCTTATTCTCTGTTTTGCAAATGAATCATGTACCTTTCACGTTGTTTGATTGAACCCAACATGAGAAGAAAAGGACAAAATATACTTATCCACATTAACATTACATGAAGATCAAAAGAAATATCAATTAATTATGGAGTAGTCTTAAATCTTTGGTCTTCTTTTATCTTTACTATATATTAACTTGTTTATAACTCGACGAGGGACATATTAGAAATTGTTGTCAATGATGATTTGAAACTTTTTGCTTATTTGTCTCATCTATCGATTTGTTGACACCGCAAGAGATTAGACACTATTATTGATTATATATACAACGTGTAATAGAAACAAAAAATCATCAATTAACAAAAGACCTGGGAGGCAGGACTTGAGCGTTGACTTGGACGTGGTTTCTTGTTAGGAAATCTTTGAGTAACGTACGTTAATTGTTTCTGAGTTGAGAGACAAACTCGTTCTAGATTCTATATGGGAAACTCCATGCATGTTTTCGTGCAATTACATGTATATTTCTATTCAATTCATTAATGAATTGATGTTGGGAAAACGTACAAATCTAATCTATTTCAACTATTTTTTCAACTGCTTTGAACTATTTTGTATATTTCATCATGTTTTACTTACAATTACCGTATTTTAAACTAAATTTCGTTTTACCTAGTACTTACTTTAGTCCTGTTTGTAAGACACAAAAGGAAATTCAGTAAAGTTCCTTGGTTGTTTCAAATGTGGCCTAAATTACCTAACTGATTTACATCCACCCATCACATTTTCACCCACAGAGGTTGGAATTAATGGGTAATTTTGAGAACGAAGAGAATAAGTGAAACAAAAGAATTTCAAAGTGCTTTATAATTCGGGCCAATAACTCACCCAAATTCTTCTACATGATAATTAAATAGGGCCAGAACAGAATGAGCAGTTAAAAATTATGATAATTAAATTCACACAAAATATAACTCACTTTTCTTTTGTTTCTTCTATACATATATATATATATAATTAAATTCACACAAAATATAACTCACTTTTCTTTTGTTTCTTCTATATATATATATATAATTGTACTCCCTGCGTCCCATAATTATTGTCCAGTTTGAGATTTTCCTTTTAGTACAATTTGAACTAAAAATAAAAATTCAAACTGGACAATAATTATGGGACGCAGGGAGTACAATTATATATATATATATATATATCATTCGATACAAGTTTATTTCCACCGTAATTACTCTGATTTATTTAAATTATTTAAAGCAAAGAATCATTCAAACATAACCAATTTTGTCGTCAAACGTGTTCGCTCAACAAGTAATCACCGTTTGTACCAAAAAGAAGAAAAACAAAATTGTACCTAAACAGATGAGTTGGGAAAGTAGTTTACCAATACTTCACGTCGAAGTTAATTTTTTTTTTTTTAATTACCACGAAAGGAGATAAATAAGTGCGACCGTTGCATTTTTAGCTTTTCAGGTAAACATTTGTCAGCCGCTTTAGCGTATCTAACTTGGTAAACAAGACACTATACATCTATACCTTAATTTCGTGTGTAATAGGAATACTTATCTATACCTTAATTTCGTGTGTAATAGGAATACTTATTCCTACATTAGCCACTAAGAAATGATTAACTTTAGTATAAGAACTTATTCAATTGACTTTTATCACATTCACAAATAACCTATTAATGTGGGAAATTACATGAACACAAACTTGAAGCCACCAAATCCTCCAATGCAATATTCTTACCAATTGTCATTGTTTTGTTTTCCAAATTTGATTTACACATTAGAAACGAAAATAATAGTCATACGAATGGTTAAACTTTAGGTTCTATAGATACTCTTACTTGGTGTAACGTTACAAGTCTACTAAATAATACAAACCATCCATACTAAGGTTTTATGTTAATTTTAAAAATTTATTTCAAATTAAGTATTACTTCCGTCTCGAAATTT